GCCTCCCTGGTGGTGTAGGGGTTAAATCTCAGCGCTATCACGCTATCAACACTGCTATATAAGTTCAATCCCCAGCCAGAGAGCTAACCCACATATGGCACAACGACCTCTCCTATCTCGTCTGCTGCTCCCCTTAGCAGTGTATTTCAGTAAATCCACCATTTCTGCTCCCCATTCTGTCTCGAGTGAATCCTCCCACCCCCTGCACTTCTGGCCTACACCTTAGTTCTATGCATAAACAAATAAGTCTTAAAAAATAAATTATTATTAGTGCCAGCACCTTTTTCAAGAAAAGACACGTGATGGAATCTTCAGGCACAGAAAGAGGACTGAAGGAATGAATTCATTATTTTTTCTTTTAAATTATTATTTTTGAGTAGGAAATACTTACTTCAAAAATTCAAAAAGGTAAGTAGTGAGAAGTCTCCCTCCCATGTCAGCTACCTCCCCAGAGGCAATCAATTGTTCTTCATTTTTTGAGTACTTTCCAGAGACACAAAAGCAATGGAAGCTATGTACATATGGGAATGGATTATTCTAGCATTCACTGATACATCACTGTGAGGTTATCTCTGCATAAAGAGGTGCCTGTGCAGAGGGCATAAGGCTGAACCATTCATTTATTAGCTACCCCAAACCCACAGGGAGTTAATTTAGGTTTTGGAAGGAAGGCTAACTTGGTATAAAGGAGAAAGGAAATAATGTCTAGCACTAAGAAGAGTTAATAACAGAGCTGCTCTATATCCAGGATGATTTAAAGGGCTAGGTAATGGTCCCGACTGTGTTTATTTCAAGGGTAGCCAGTGCTAAGAGCCCTCCTATCTTGTATAAGAGCAATTTTCTTAGTATAAAATATTGTCGTACATTTGTATTGTTTTGTTTAGACTCAGCGTGTTTAACAAAACTTTTTCCTCCTAAAAGAGATACTGAAGACAATTTAAAAATCGTAAGTATGATTTTTATAGGTATCAGAGCCAAAATATTTCTATACTGGAATGCCAATTTTAATGATGTCATATAAATTAATGGAAAAATAGCAGTAGACATTTGTTTTACTGCCAAGTCTTAAAGAATACTTAAGCAAGGCATATTTATCTTAGTGATATGAATATTTAATTTTTCCTTATCTGGAAATACATTTTAAAGAGTGTTAATCAATATACTTTTTGGAAAACTTTTTAAAGCTTACCCTTGATATCAGATGTTACAAAAAAAAGTTTATAATTTTCTCTCAAAATGCTGCTTATCCCTACCTGCACACATTAATATTTACTTTAAAAAATTAAGGTATCAGCACACTATTTTATGGAACACAATAAGCCTAGTCTAAATTTCTGTAGATGAGTAAATATGGAATAGCCAATAAAATTTTGAAGATGGAAAAATACCCCATCAGATATAAATGCATACTATATTTCTATTTTAATTAAACAGTATGTCACAGTGAAAAGATAGACAACTAGCTCGTTACAGCATAATAAAGTATCCAGAAACTGACCCAATTGTATATTAAAAGGAAATTTTCACATCAGGAGTGAAATAAATGGCATAGAAACACTGACAATTGATTTAGAACAAAGTAAATTTAGTTTACTCTGTTAAATTGTACACACCAATAAATGCGCAATAGATGATGGGTGTAAGTAAGTACACAACAAAGAACCTAAAAATGAAGATATTGATTTCATAATCTAGTTCTTCCTTCATAAGTCACAAAAAATGAAGCAAAAATAACAATAGACTAATTTGAATATGCAAAAATCTGAACAGCACCATAAAACATAGAAAGGCTTCCCTGGTGGTGCAGGGGTTAAAGTCTCAATGCTATCAAGCAATCTGTCGACACCATTGCAGCATGAGTTTGATCTGGCCAGGGAGCTGACACATGTGGCACAGCAGAACTCTCCTGTCTCACCTGCTGCTCCCCTCAGCAGTATGTTTTAGTAGATCTGCCTGTTCTGTTCCCCACACTGTCTCTGGTGAATCCTCTCATCCCTTGCACCTCTGGCCTACACCACAGTTCTTGTATGCATAAATAAATATAAATAATCTAAAAAAAATAGAAGGCTTATAACAGCTTGAGGGAAAATGTATACACGTATTAAAATGCTGATATCCACAATATCGAAAGGAGAGTTCACTAATTCATATGAAAAAGACAAACAACTCCAAAGAAAATTGGTGATGGCAAATCAAAAAATAAAAAACAAGTGGCCAAAAAAAATGTAGTCATGCCCAACTTCACAGATATTATGTAAAAATGTTCATTCTTTAGAATATAAGTTCTTCCTTGCTTTCTGCCCTCCCTCCCCTCCCCTCCCCCTGGATTCCAACCCACTATGCTGTGAGGCCCATAAACAGTAAGTCATAGTGTAAAGTTTGTTTCCTTTGTGGAAGATATCACTGTCTTCTGAAATGCAATATATATATATATATATATATATAAATATATATAATATATATACATATATATTCAATGATCTAGAAAACTATGGGACCACTACAGAAATATGGGCATGTTGGCATGTATGCACAAGATGTGTTCATAAATAAACTCAAGACAACCTTGTTTTAATAATGAAAAACTGCAAATTCCATAAACAATGATAAAAAATAACTGTTCATAACTTATGATATATTATCTATAAAATGGAATAGTCATTCACATGAATGAATGATATACCAATATTAAAAGATTTTATAGATATTGTTTTGTATGTTTTGTATATATGTTTGTATATATGTTTGTATATATTTGTATATACTGTTCTGTATATATGTTTATAAACATATATTGATTACATATTATATACTTTAGTATATATATTTATATATTATATATTTATATACTTTATTATATATTATATATAATGAATATTATCTATAAAATGGAATGGTCATTCACATGAATGAATTAATTAAAAGATTAAATGAATTAATTAAAAGATTTTGTAGATATTGTTTTGTAAGTGACTGAGAAGGTACTTCTCATTATATATATATAATATATAATAATGTATATAAATACATAATATAGAAATATATAATAAAGTATATAACATATAATCAATATATATGTTTATAAACATATATCCATATTGTACAAATATGTATATGTTACATGTTTGTAACTACACATAAAAGTATAAATCACACCCATGTATGACATGTATATATGTTAAAACATGAATTATGTTTAACACATACATGTTTGTAAATGCATAGAAAATGTCTAGAATGATCTACACCCAAGTTTTATTGCTGGTTTCCTAAGAGAAGGGGAATGATGTTGGGGAAGAGTGATTTCATTTTTACATGATAGGGTTTTGTGCTGTTTGAATGCTGAATTAGGATACATTACTTTCATGTATTTGTGTATCTAAAGGTATATACTTAAAAGATATATACTGACCTAAAGATAAATACTTAAAAAATAAATGACTTCTTTACTTTACTTCTCCTTGCATCCTACCTTATTTTTACTCATTCATAGCATACGAGAGGAGATAAAGAATCTTTCAGTCTAAATGTTTAATTTTTATAAAACAGAAACTTCCATAAAATATATTTTATAAAAATTTGATTATTTTCTATTGTAGTTTATTATTCATATAGTACTATGCAATGAAGATGAGGTTATCACATACTATGATTTCTAGGGAAACTATGCAGGAGTAAAACAATCCTAAATGACAGAGACTGGGTTGAGTGCCATCATTCCTTCTCCGGGGACAAGACTCAAGGATACAAACACGTTCCATCTTCCCAGCTGCCTGAGGTCCCAGCCAGCTTGAAGTCACCATAAATATCCAGCCACCTCATTATGATGAACTTTACTGGAGAAGTATGAACACAGGTGTCAGATATGAGCATGAACTCTTCCTGACCCCAGAGTAGAAGGAAGAAAAGAAGAAAACCATAGGGCTGGCTTGATGTGGGCACATAATGGGTCCAAGACTAGGTTATGACAGGATAAAGCCCTGAGAGAGAGAAAAATCCTGGACATTCAGGATAAATGGACTTACAAAGATGATATAGGAAGAAACAAAACTAATAGAGCACAGACCCTTGGAGAAGAGTTTCTTTTGCACTCCGGCCATTATTATAGGAGCGAGAGCCATGGAGCAAGTCAGCTGCCAAGCACTTCAGGGAAGGGATTTGCTACTTAATTATGAAGCAGGCCTCGACTTCCTTGATCACATCACATGCTTCCCAGCACAGAACAGCACCATCACCACCACCTCCACCACCACCAGCCACTGCAGAAACAGGCACCATGATGTGTGGCTGCCCTAGAGTGGGTATTTCTAGCCTAGGGCATCTGTGCTTTTTTCTAGAAAGATCCACCATGGTCTTTTCCATGTAACCATCTTTCCCAGGATATTTTTTAACATTTTGATTTTTAAAGATTCGAATAGCATACAAAATGTTAGGACCACACATTATCTAAAGCAAAGCCTGTGAACCCGGGAGAGAGAAGTACATGGTGGCGGGTGGGGTCAGACTGCGCCATCACTCAGGTCCCCTCTGGATTTGGCAGCCTGTGACACTGAAGGTGCTGGAAGAAGAAACGGCCAGTTTCTAGAGATCTTCTGTGTCACCAGTAAAAGCTGGATTCATATTCTGAGTTATGTCTTCTGAGAACTGAGTTTCTAGCCTAAGCTGCTTCTACTATGAGTCCAAAGCAAACACATTTGTGCCCACACTGACTTTCTCCAGCATCTGTCTGGGCATAAAACTTCAACAGAGTCTCTTCAAGAGCAGAATAAATGATGCTTGTTCTGGCTCAGAAAATAAAACTAAGAAAGAAACCAAAACAGAGCCCTTTAGAATGATTCAGACTTCTTGGAAAGAAAAAAATAAGACTTAATTTTAGAAATGCTCATTAGAGAGTAATCTGCTAACCTATATTAAAAAAATTAATTGTGGTAAATACACGTAACATAAAATTTACCATCTTAGTCACTTTTAATAGGCTAAACTGAATTGTACCCACCTACCTTGTAAACTGTCGACTCTCTTCATGAACTTCCATTTCTGTGCTCTTAAATTCATTTAGTTCTTTCCTTATTGCTGCCTAAATAGGAAAAAAATAGATAAACAGAATTGTTACTCAGGTCACATTTTCCTCAGCACATACAGTATCAATGAAGCAGACAATCTTTACAGAAATGTCTTTGAAAAGAAAGGGACTCCTGATATCTATGAGGTAAAGGTATGGTAAATGTGACACCTTACTACATACTACAGCTTATGATGATAGGGTTACTCCCCAACAAAACCAATATGTTGAAAATATCTTATGTCAAAAATGCTTCCAACACACCTTACCTACCTGACATCATAGCTTATTAGCCTGGCCTACTTTATTTTTTATTTTTATTTTTTTAAATTTTTTTAAAAGACTTATTTATTTATTTATGCAAGCACTGGGTACAGTCAGAAGCGCAGGAGGGTGAGAGAATTCACCAGAGCCAGAGTGGGGAGCAGAGCAGGCAGACTGACGAAATACACTGCTGAGGGGAGCAGCGGGCGGCAGGAGAGGTCTGTGCGCCATGTGGGACCCTCGCCCGTAGCCGGGGATTGAACCGGTGCTGCAGAGGCTGCGGGCAGCTTCGCAGCCCAGCGCTCAACCGCTGCACCACCAGGGAGGCCCCTGGCCTACTTTAAATGTGCTCAGAACTCTCACATGCTACAACAATGCAGAGTATGAGCTGTTTACCCCAGAGATTATGTGACTGACCGAGAACTGTGATTTACTGCCCAGTATCACAGAATACCACTGATTCAGGAGAAGAAAACTTTTGCACTATCATAGAGTTGAAAACACTAAACTTTTGCTAAAGTCACCCTGGGCCTGATCTATGAGCCACACATCCTCTGTCCTCGATGACCACAAGGAAAGTGGGGCCGTGAGATTTTTCGAGACACCATCATTTTCTTGTGAAAGTTCTGCATTTAATACCATTTATAATGACACAGCTCTAACATGGAGCAAGCTACTGTTTCTTAATGTTGGAAGTTTAGACAACCAGAGTTAACAATTTTAGCAAAGCGATGAAAACTACTCAAAGGAAATATCAAATAGAATGCTGTTACTATTACTATTTAAGGACACATAATCCATCCATGTATCTGTTCAGGTTTGAAGAGATACTTATGTCATTCTGGTTGAAGAGCTAAATACTCATCAAAATGTTCATCTTAATTACCCATATTAACAATGTGGATGTGTCATGAATGGTTTTGGTTTTACCTTGGTATTTATTTTTCCTAATTTTCTACAAAGAATGGCTTCCTCATTAAGTGAAAACTACTAATAAAAACATCCCCATTTATGAGAAATGGACTTTTCAATCAAAACACAGAATGACATTAAAAACCACAGAGAATGACTTCACTGAGAGATAAGAAAATTTGCTTTATGGTTAGATAATGATGAATTTCGAAAAGGGGAAAACCAAAAGCAAGTCCTTAGAACTCTCTAGCTTTCTCTCACCATTAGCTGTCTTTCTGCAATATACAAGTGTTCTCCCTGTGGCCCTTCCAATGTTATTTGACAAGGATTGTCTTGTCATTCCAAATATATTCTTCAGTCCGTGTGGCTGGGAACTGTAGCAATAATTCTTGCTACTGAGTTTTTGAAGGGATGAAACAAACAGAGAAAAAAATATGGGTTAAGTCCCCTGTGATAAAACCATAAAGCTTATCTCCCAGTGAGATCAACAGTGAGGGAGGTTGTTTTACTCACTATAAAAACTGGTATCTACAACCAGGAACCAAAATAGTGAGGATCATACAAATCACCAATTAACATCTATCAAAAGGTTTTCATGAAAGGTGGTATTTTAATTTGGATAGTGGCAGAAGATCATACCTTCACGTTCATTTTATTTATTTATTTTTTTAAGTCTTTTTTTTTTTTTTTTTTTAAGATATATTTATTTATACATGCACTGGGCACAGTCAGAAGTGCGGGAGAGTGAGAGAATTCACCAGAGCCAGAGCGGGGAGCAGAGCAGGCAGAAGGACCGAAGTACACTGCTGAGGGGAGCAGCGGGCAGCAGGCGAGGTCTGCGCGCCATGTGGGACCCTCCTCCGGTGGCCAGGGAGCAGCTGGGGATTGAACCAGCGCTGCAGAGGCTTCGGGCAGCTTCGCAACCCAGCGCTCAACCGCTGCGCCACCGGGGAGGCCCTCCACGTTCATTTTAAATTTCTCTTCTGGGGCCTCCCTGGTGGTGCAAGGAGTTAAGATGCAACCTATGAAGCTATCCGCAGTCACTGTAGCACGAGTTCAATCCCTGGCCAGGGAGCTACCCACATGGTGCAGCAGACCTCTCCTGATTTTCCCGCTGCTCCCTCAGCAGTGTTTCAGTCAGTCTGCCTGTTCTGTTCCCCACTCTGTCTTTGGTGAATCCTCTCACCCTCCACAACTCTGGCCTGTACCCCAGTTCTTGTATGCATAAATAAATAAATCTTTTAATAAAAAATTTCTCTTCTGAAGGAAAGGGGTTGGGAAGGAGAGCAAATGGGTGGGGAGGGCACAGTGGACTATGGTGGAGGCCTATGGGTGTGTTGGTGGCTGGAGAACTGTGGTGACCACACCTGAGGGGAGAAATCTGATATTGTGAAAAAAGGGACAAAGATTACTCCAATTTAAAAAAAAAAATGTGTGTGTGTGTGTGAGTATATATATAATATATATATATAAAATTCAAAAATTCTCCTCTGAATGTAATGGTTTCACTAGAAAAAGTGAAAAGCAGTATATTCAACTCAGAGGACATGGATCAGGTATTATGTGTGCCTTTATTAGCAGTGTGACCCTCTGTGACTTACTTTGCTCCAAAATCTCTTTTCCCATCTGGAAATTTGGGCTGACAATTCCTCACCATATTAGGAAATTCAGTTATGAGCATATCTGAAAACACCTTGTACACTGTAAATATTCAATAAAGTGTCATTGTTGTGAGGTTTTAAAAAAATCAATTTTAGTTTGTGACTGTGACTAACAATTCTTTCATTTTTATTTATAGAGTCTACCATATGCAAGAAGATGTCACTGAGGAGACTCACTGGAAATAAGGCAAAGTACTAATTCTCCATAGTAGGTTGTCTATTGATCTAAAGAGTCTGACAGAAGTCAATAAAAGTATTCTCTAAGAATCAACTGGGACATGACATCTCCATTTACAATTTATTATGACCATTTCATACTAGATCATAAACTATGGCATCAATGAACAGTGAAAATATCACCAATGGCAATAAAGTTTGGATTCTCAAGTCTAACCATGAATGTAATAGTGGTAAGAGCTATTGGTAAGCTGGACTGAGGAGATATTCTACCTAATTCTCAAGACAGATATAGTTGGCTCTACTTTATTAGTATGGAAACTCAGATAAAATGACTTTACCAAGGTCAAACAATGACCAAATGGCCACCTCAGGATCAGACTCAGAAATGCCCAGCTCCAAAGCCTGCCTTTCTCTCCCAACAACAGAGCTTCCTGGTCTCACTTCAGGGAGACAGCAGCTGCCATGTGGAGCCTGCGTCTTCAGGCCAACAGATGCCCCTCTGTAGTTCCACCCGTCACTTAGGGCTCATTTATAGACTTCAGCATAGGAAATGAGACCATTTCTCTCTTACTGTACATGCATCTGTTTCGAGTGTTGTACTCAAGTCCATGCACTGTTAAACATTTCATTATAAACTGATTTAATCCCAACTGAGTTCACACTTAATAAGACATTTCTCTCATTACTTCTCTTTTCCAATGTGGGCACTTTAACATGATGGTCAGCTCCGTGAGATTCTCTCCAGTGCCTCATGCAGTGTTTTCAGGGAACATGCTTGGCTGATTATTGACTGACTGGATACTGACCCCTTTTCTTCATTCTTGAAGCTCAACGATTTTTAAAAATTCAAAGTGGCATATATATAAGGAGCCTAAGAAAGTGAACTAAGAAAAGAGAGAGAAGGGGTTGATTGCTCTTTGAGGTTGGCAGGAAGTTCAGTGTTTACTTTGAATCCAGAGGTGGAAATACTCACTTTCAATATATTTTTTTAAAATGGGAGCTAGATAGTCCAAAAATTAAAAAGTCAAATTCCTTTTTTAACATGAAAGTCATAGATTTTTGTACCAGTTAACAAATGAAATAAGACATATTATTTTGAATCTGAGCAATATGTATTATGAAGTGTTTTATTTTAAATTAAAAAGTATAGGAACTCAGAAATACATGTTAAAATGATTAGAATGAGTTATTCTCATTCTAAAGTAATATATATATTAAGACCACTAAGAGTTTCACTATCTATGCATATAGTAAGTGATATTTTTATATACTTATCTTAACATGGATAGGAAATAACTTTTTCTTTCATTATTATGAAAAATAATATTTTTAACCATTCTTAAAGACACCATGCTTTGGTGTGCATTACAATTGCTATTTTCTTCTTTAAATTCTTCTAAATATAATGATTTTGGGCAATGACTATGTCATGTGTATATACATTAACAGCATTTTAAACTGCTGCACTTTGATTTATTTTTAAAAAGCACACATTTTTTTTTCTATAAGAAATTATCCTTATTTTTGCTTCAAGGGCAAAGACCACCTCAAAACAAATCCAGTTCTAAAATTGCTGTCCTTTAGTCTTAAAAAAAAAAAGACTTGGGAGAAATGGAAGAAACAATGTCAGAGGTAAAAAATGAGCCTCCATGTGAGCAGGGCGGGCCTTTGGCTTGTGCTCTGGGGCTCAGGGTTCCATCTTCAGAGAGATGCAAAAGTCATGTGCTTTCAAAGCACTTCTGCACAGAAATTAAGTCAGTAGGAAAAAGCCTGACCAAGCACATTTCCCTGCAGCCTGGAAGTCCAGCACAAGAACTAATTTTGGTTTCAATACAAAATTAAAAGAAAAACCTTTTCTGTTTGGCTAGAGACGGACAAGTTTTACTGTCTGACAATAGTGTTAAAAAAGGATTCATTCCAGGGTATGGAAAATTTTGATTCCATATGAGGGTGGTTAATCATTTAGATTTTCCGCGCTTACATTCTTCACGCCTGTTG